TCCCTTGGCCGTGAGCCCCACCGGCCACCGCCCAAGCAGCGCCGTCGCCGCCCAAGCCGATCGCCGCCGCCGGGAGCCGTACACTGTCGCCGCCGTTCCTGATTAAGTGCCGCCGCTCTCCTTTCTAGCCGCGATAGTCTAGAACGCGGGTAAGTCGCAATCTAAATCATATTTAGGATATCGGGTATTAACGGACTCGTTTAGGCGCGGTTTAGGGTAGTTTAGGGGTTAATGGAAGTGATTGTAATTGGATTAGAGGAGAGCTTGATCCTTTATTGTGTTCTTGGACGTTCTTGTGGCTGTTGGATGGTCATTTGAGCTGAGGGGAACGAGTTTTGTGGTCTGAATTTGGGTAGATATTAACTAAGGTTCAGATCTTTGAAATTTGAGGTGAATCTCTGATTCGCGGTTACCGTACGTCTTCGATTTGCTATTTTTGTAGCGAATTTTGTGGGCTGAATTTGAGGAAGTTTTATTCATGAAAGTTTCTTCCAACATCTTGAAGTATAGCATAATTTAATTTGAGAATTTTTGGAAATCATCGGAGGCCATTCGGAAGTCCATCTTTGGACCGAAATTAGTGTGCTGGAAATACTGTTCCTCCGACCTTCGGATCTGTTCGAATTTTTATAAATTTTTTCAGACCCATTTTCAAAATACTTCCTTCACAAAACTTGTTGGGGACATTTCTGACTATGACATATAAAAATTTCAAGTCTTTCCAAAGTGATTTGGTTACTGGATGAAATGCATTTTTATGGTCAGGTGGCCTGACCGGACGGGTTGATTTTCATCTGACTTCAAGTGACAAAAAGAGGTGTTTACAGTTGGCACTGGGTTTCGAGTTCTTCATAGAAAATTTTTATCAAGATGTTTTACGCAACATATCCAAATTTCAAAATTTTTGAAGTTCGTTTACTATTTATTTGAATGGGATTTCGGTCACTGTGTAAACTGCCCAACTTTACCCCGATTCTTTGGATGTTCGTTTTTATGAGCGGAATGATGGGGGTGTCGAGGTTGAATAGTTGCTGCCCTTGTGACGGGAATTGATCCTGAATGTGTGTTTGTATGTGGATGGTGTGTTTGTAAAGTGGTTGTAGTTGTTGGTTGATTTCTGAATGATTGTTGGGCTGAATATTGAGTGGCCGTGTGCACTGTGTGTATGGCCGTGAGGTGTGTGGTGTGATTGTGAAATGAGCTCACATGTCAAGCATGTGCGATTGTATGGTGTTTGTGTGGCAAGAATGTGCATTTGCGAAGTGAGTGTGAGGCGTGAGATTATGTGTGGCCGTGTGTACGTGTGGCCGTGTGATACGTGTGAAATGAGTGGAACGAAGGTATGGAAATGTAGGATTGATTGGAAAAGTGATACCCTGAGGCGTGTTCGTTTACGCGGGACGATGCCGTCCCTGACGAGGTGATGATGCCCGGCCCGACGGGGTGACGACGCCTGACGAGGTTAGAAGACCGTTGGCCTGATGCGTTTTACGCAGGCGCGATAGAGAAGGAAAGTTGAGAATGTAGAATTCCGTCCTGAGGCGTGTTCGTTTACGCGGGACGATGCCGTCCCTGACGAGGTGACGATGCCCGGCCCGACGGGGTGACGATGCCTGACGAGGTCAGAAGACCGTGGGCCTGATGCGTTTTACGCGGGCGCGGTAGTGGTGGAAAAGTTGAGAGTGAGTCGGATTTGGTTTGACGCGTGAGGTTTGTGAAAGTTGACGCATGGCGAGAGTTAGTGTGTGAGTGTGGTTTGCCTCGCGTGATATGGTGCTGGATGAGTATGGATATAAATGAATTGGCTGTATTATTTTTTGATATGCAGGGATGTGCATGATGGATCCCAGGTAGGATCGCATGTGATTGTTAGTACAATTGTGTGGATGTTGTTTGTGTGTTGCTTGATTCGGTGTCTGGACTTGTCTGGAATACGTGGTAGCCTAAGTAAGGTTTAGGTTGTGAACTTATTGAGAAGTGTCTCATGGTTGTTTCAACCAAACCATTTCAGAGCACCCGCCTGAGCCATGAACCTTCCGCCGCCGTCGCAGCGTTTTGGAACTGTTTTGCACTCTGATCATGATGTGGTAGAATTCTCGATCGAGATGGAGGCCGATTCGGAGTTGACGGATGAGCATGTGCCTGATGAGGATTCAGATGAGGATTCCGAAAAGAGTGAGTCAGAGTGGACGCCATCTAGAGGGCGTAGGGATAAGTTTTGGAGCTGAGGAAGAGTTTGGAAGTGTCCCACTTTGGTGTAGCGTTACCCAGGCTGCTAACCTTTTGTGATAACGGTGGTTTGCAGTTTCGTAGTCCAATGTGCATATTTTGCTTTGTGGTTTGTAAATTGGCGGTTGTGGCATACATTTATGTTGTAAATGGATATTGTACTTAATTCGAGGTATAGTTTAAGATTTGGTGGTTTGGCAATTTATTCTCCCTAGTACCCCAGGTAAATTAATATTTGGGTGTTTGATGTTTCCGCCGCGATTAAACTCTGATGGGTTAATTTGGGTCGGCGACGTTTCCTGGGATGTCGCACTAATTCGACCAAAGAGGGATGTCGCGTGCTCGATGGGGTTCGGGGTGTGACATTTACTTTGTACATATATGCATTTATCATACAAAAAAGGAAAGAATAAACAAGATTACAACGATTATACTCTTCTACTTTATTTCCGAGTATCCTTGATTGAATCAATTCAAATCAAGGTTAAAGATAAAATCGTATCTTTCTCCAACGGGATGCTCACCCATTATTGTTTCTATTGCTACCACCCCGAAGCTGTATACGTCGCATTTCTCATTGACGACCAAAGTGTAAGCGAGCTCTTAAAAAATAAAAAAAGGTCATAAATTAGATGAGGCTTGAAACTAAGTTCTCAATCATAGCTAGTGCATTGTCAAATGATAAATATGTAAGCATGATGAAGCGTCAACATGTTATTACCAAATGGGGGGGGGGGGGGGGTTGGGGGTGTTTAAGAATATTGATCAAGCTATGTGCCTTTAGTAATAACATTCCGCAAAAATATGGACTATTGTTGCTCACCTAGCGCTATATCCATGAGTGCCTGCAATATTTACAGTGAGATTAGATGAGAAATTAGGTTCCATGAATCTTGCCGTGCCGAAATCTAATAGGAAAGCCTGCATTTTGTTGTCCAGCAAAATGTTGTTGCTAGATATGTCTCGATGAATGATTGGCCGAGCGCAATCATAGTGTAGGTAAGACAAGGCATGTGCTATATCCCAGACAATCTTGAGTCTTTTAGGCCAATCTAGTTCCACCGCTTCATAGTCATCTCTCAAAACACTGAATAGACTTCCCCTTTCCATGTACTCATAAATCAAGAACATGCATCGCTCGTGTAAGCAAAATCCATAGAGCTTAATTATGCTTCTATGTCATACTTCTGTCATGTGCTTCACTTCATTTAATAAGCTCTTGTCGAAAGCTGGGTTGCTTCAAGACGGTGAAGTTTCTTTAGTGCCTTGATTTTCCCACTGGGCAATCGCGCTCTATAGACACTACCGTATCCACCAGTTCCAATGCAATATTTGATATCAAAGTCTTCTATTGCATTGATTATGTCTTCATATGCAATTCCCCCATCATAATTCCATATTGACAAGAAATCTCCATTTTTTTCCATTGTCTCTAATTGCATGCTCTTCTTTCTACGCCGAAATATGATCGAAGGGCGCAAAACAAAATGGAAAATGAATGGTATAGCCGTCAGTGGTATAAGTATTGTCATAAGTACAACCCAAAACATTCTTCTAGAACCATCAATATTTTCCAAACCTTCGTTGCCTATGAAAGCTCCATAAGGAAGATGGGCTCGATTATTTGGAATTTTTCCCGTGAGATAATTGTACGACAATTCAATGTAATCTATGTGACCAAGAGTCGGAGGGTCATCCCCCAAAACGTATTGGAACTCAAATCTAGGTAGATAAAACTATTTAGATTTCCCAATTTGGGAGGGATTGAACCATAAAGGTAATTACTATGAATGTCAATTACTTCTAACATGGTGAGGTTTTGGAGACAAAGAGGGAACTCACTGGTTAGCCGATTGTGGGACAAGTTGAGGGGCCTGAGCTTTGGGAGTGCACATATTTGAAGGGGAAAGATATTACCCAAATTATCATCATGTAGCCTAAGAAAGGCCAGATTCGAGAGCAGCGAAAAATTTATGCTGCGCAAATCACATGCGACCTTGTAGTCGTATTGGCCTCGTTGTGTTATGTTTATCTTGACAACGCTGCCGGAATGGTTGCATGAAATGCCAGGCCACATGCAATGTGCTAATGAAACGTTGCTTGTAAGGGGGTTAGGCCACCACCAACCACGACGAAGAGCATTTGCCTCTGTTTCCATGGCAGTATATTCCAAACCTTCATTGCCTTTGAAAGACATATGACGAACATTGAACAGATTTTGTAGAACATTTCCCATGAGATGATTGTACGATAAGTCGATGTAATCCAATTTGGAAAGCTTTTTGAAATTGGGAACTGAACTGTGAAGAGAATTGTTCGCAAGATTGAGGTAGCTTAACGCAACCAAACTGTCAAGTTCATGAGGGATTTGTCCAAAGAAGTTGTTAAAGCTCAAATTTAGATTGGTGAGACTCTTCAAATCTCCTATTTCCGATGGAATAAGGCCAGTGAAGGAGTTTGAGCTCAGCCTCAAATCAATCAAGCTCTTCAAGTTATCTATTTTTGACAGGATAGATCCACGATATTGATTCTCTTCCATACTCATATATGCCAAGTTTGTCAAGTTCCCGATTTCCGGAGGCATAGATCCATTGAAGGAGTTTTGTCGCAAATAGAGATGCATCAAGTTCCTCAATTTCGCTAGAGATGAAGGAATGGGACTGACGAAGGAGTTGCATTCTAGGTCAACGTGACACAAGTTCATGCAGTTCCCTATCTCAAGCGGGATGAAGCCTTCTAAAAGATTAGAGCTGAGTTGTAGACGGTGTAAATTAGACACCAAGAGTCAGAGGGATCGTGCTGTGAAGCAAATTGGAATTGAGATTCGGGTAGATCAATTTCTTCAGATTTCCCAATTCGAGAGGGATATATCCACCGATTATGTTGTCTTCCATACTCAGATATGCCAAGTTTGTCAAGTTCCCTATTTCCGAAGGAATAGATCCATTGAAGGCATTTCCTTGCAAATAGAGATGAGTCAAGTTCCTCAATTTCGCTAGAGTCGGAGGGATAAGGCCATGAAGCGAATTGAAACTGAAATCTAGATGGATCAGCCTCTTTAGATTTCCCAATTCTGGAGGGATGTATCCACCGATTCTGTTGTCTTCCATACTCAGATATGCCAAGTTTGTTAAGTTCCCTATTTCCGGAGGAATAGATCCATTGAAGGCATTTCCTTGCAAATAGAGATGAGTCAAGTTCCTCAATTTTGTTAGAGTCGGAGGGATAGGGCCAGGAAGCAAATTGAAATTGAAATCTAGGTGGATTAGACTCTTTAGATTCCCCAATTCTGGAGGGATAGGAGTATCGGTTTAACTGTTATGAATGTCAATAACTTCTAACGTGGTGAGATTTTGGAGACAAAGAGGTAACTCACCGGTTAGGTAATTGTTGGACAAATCAAGGTGCCAAAGCTTTGGGAGTGCACATATTTGAAGGGGAGTGATACCGGTGAGGTAATTATAAGGCAGCTGAAGAGAGCCGAGATTCGGGAGTAGAGAGAAATTCATGCTGCTCAAATTACTTCTGAACCAGCGGCCGTAGCAACCTCTTGGTGGCATGTTTATTTCGACGACGTTTCCAGAATCGTCACACGAAATACCCCACCACATGCAATGTGACAAGGAAGTGTTTCTCGTAATGTAGTCAGGCCACCACCCACTGCGACGAAGAGCATCCGCCTCTGTTCCCGCGGCAATGACAGGGCGGTTGTGGGATAGAGCAAGGGCAATAACGATCCATGTAGCTGCGGTCATCAGCTGGCGAACATGCAAGCCGACGGGTTTGCTTACAGGATTCAAATGAAGCATATGGAAGAGGAAGGCCTGAGTTTTGCTGTAATATATAAGTAAGGGCAATCCAAAAGAAATGACTTTGTGCAGAGCAATTTAACATGTGACGACTTGGAAGTCTTAAATTACTAATTGAAGCCTCGCGTCACCGTCAGGTTTTGGGCCCCGTGGTTTTGTTTGGTCTCAATAGAGGGGCGTAGTGGGACTATGCATCTAATATAAAAGAAACGATTGTTCGAAAGAGGACTCCATGATCAAAATAATTTATTGTTAACTTTCATTTTAATCAAATCATTTTGTTTTAAAGCCTCGAATTATTGGGTGAGTGATTAAACGTTCAATTTAAATACCATAGATTTTGTCACAATATCCCACGTTCGGATTAACCTCTCCAGCCATCCTGTTGTGGAGCTTTACTAGATACATGTGAACAGGCAATTTACAAGCATTCGAGACCTAATTTAAGTTGATCAATTGTTGTAGCTAAGTTGATTTATGGTGATTTGGGTGTAGACAAGTTGAAATCCATTATCATCCATAAAAGTGCGGATCAAGATAATTGGTTCATTGTTTGGAGGATGTTGAAAATATGTCTCGAGTTTGAGCCCGTGAACGAATCCGATCCGAGATTAATTATATATATATATGGACGTCCACCGTGGAAATATCTTTGTTTCGGTGTCAAAGGAATCCGCGTTGGGCAAGGATTCCAAGCAAAACAAGGGGGAAAAAAATACGGAAATTGACTTTCCTAAATGGCGTTGCACTCTAGACTTTGCAATTTCCTAGTTTACGAATTGGGATCGGACTCCTTGGCGGTGCTATACAATATATAATTGTTTAAGGACTTGTTTTCGGAGAGTTGAGCTTGCAAGTGACACTCTGAACAGAGGGTGTGCTATTGTTGCCGCAAGAAGATTGCCCGAAACGCCGATAATGTGAGTGCTTGGTGTCCGTGGCTGTGGCAGTGCGGGTCTTCGTGCAGTGAAGTCTTTGTTCAGAAAATTACATCCTAGAGTTCAAGTGTTTGTAGGAAATTAAATCTTATTGTAAGATTTGTATAATTCCTTTGCGAGATTGAGAGATTATTTCGTGAGTAATTGTGAGGCTAAACACTGAGTGAGTTATTGGATGTAATTAGGGCTTGAGAAACACTTAAAGTGTTTGAGTGACTTGAGTGTGGCTTTAAACTCCGTTGTATCGATTGATTTATAGTGGAATTCCGTGTTGCTCTCCGGTGAACGTAGGCCACTACGACCGAACCACGGAAATCTAGTGTCTAACTTATTTCCTTATTCTGTCTATTTTACTGTTTATTTGCTTGGTTTCCGCAACAGAGCAAACATGTAGATTTATGTGCATGAAAGAGAAACTTATTGTTCTATTATCTTGAGTATCCGTGAATGTGAACTTCTGTCAAAACTCCATAGTTCCCCATAATCCACCACAAAAATCATGCACATGGCCTTCTTCCTCGAAGAATTTATAACTTGTATATATTGCCACAAAAGTACAGACAACTTGAGCAGTAAAATAACCTTTCCCAACCCACAGCCAAGTAAAAGAAGAAAAAGAAAAAAACTAACCTTTCCCGAGATAGAATCTAACTCATATCCTCATTTTTAAGTATATTTACACAACATTATAGTAGGAAATTGAGTCTTGAACACAATAAACATAGACTTGTCTTCAGCTACTATTGATGTTGTCAATATGACTGGGGACAGATACTGAAAGTCAAAGTCTCAGGAGGGGCCAAAACCTAAAGACAAGCAACTCAAGATTAAATTCTAGGTAAGTATAAGTTTAGTTTGTGATATATCCATGCTCAGTTTCGTTCTTGAAACAAAAGGCCTTTTCACATTAAATTTTGATTAAAGTGGTATTATTTCAATTTCAATATGAACTATTGTGCATAGCGGCTGTATAATTGGGAAACTATATAACATGTAACGCCATGCAAAAGAATTCAAGAAACCAATCGAGATTAATGTCAGAGATGATTGATAACTTAAAACAAAAATCAGATCATTACAAAGTATCGAATGAATTATAATTTAAAGAATAAAAGGAATTCCAACGTTTTTCCTTTTCCATTAATTATATGTAATTTTGCATCATAACTCGAATTTCGTTTTCAAAAGAAGGGAGCGTAGGATGATTTAATTCTATACTCATAAGTATTTCAACCTACAATTGGTTGAAGTAGAAGGGGGTAAATGTGTTTTTATTTAGAAGCCATATTAAGAAATTGCATATTCTCATTAATTGATATAAGCAGATAAGCAACTTTCAAAAAGTGAAAGGGAAATTTCTGCAGAAAACGATGAAAAAGGAATTAAGTTTTCTATTACAAAAGAAATTGCCACACATTCACAAACATTTTGACGAACGACATGTGTTTCTGGAAATGATTTTGTAATTGAATTCTTTTACATGTCAATCATCCGTCGCAGACGTGAACACTGGCCGGCACCGGCCGTCCGGATGACGCTGACGTGAATAATTTTTAATGATATGTTATTTCATTCGTTTATTTTTTTATTTTATTTTATTTTTCTTTTTCTTTTCTTTTCTTCCTTCTTTTCTTTTTCTCTCGCGATCTGGGCGTGAGGCCAAGGGGCGGTGAGATCGTTGGGGTAGTAAGTGGTGTTCGTGTTGGTGGACCTGATGGGTTTCGGCTGAGCAGGAGGAGAGGTCAGCATTCTGCAAGGAGTTGGAGGCAGTGAGGGAGAGAGACACACCGGGCAAAGCCAGAGAGAGGTTTAAGAGTCTCGAGCTTCGTCTTCTTGTCCCTGTTTTCCCTCTCAATCTCCTCCTCGGCCTCTCTGTCTTGGAGAAATTCCACCTGCTGCTTCCACCGCCGTTCGAATTCATGAAACCACGCAATTATCATAATCACCACCGCCCTTGATCGGATTCTCAGACCCCAACGTGATATCCTTCCCCTTGTAGCTCGCTTTTTCGTGCGAAATCTCGCCGGGAACGTCCTTCCTGAGAAAACCCAGCTCAGAATTGTCGTACATGCAGCTGAAGGTCGGCTCTTGCTGCGAGTCCGAATTGCCGGTCCTTGAGTTTCTTGAATGGAACCCATCAAAGCCCCAGCCATGGCGAGGCTCGGCCTCGCTAGTGGCCGACGGGGGCGGGCTTCGCTAGAGGCCAGCGAGGTGACCTCGCTGGTCCTCACCTCTAGCTGGTCGCCAAGGCGACCGGCTAGAGGAAGAGGGAAGGGTAAAAAAAGAAAAAAAGAAATAAAATTCGAAATATATTAAATATTATTAAAAATTATCCACGTCAGTATTGGCCGACATCCATGCCAACGCTGGCCGGCTAACATTGACCAGATAGACTGAATTGGCACAAATACAAAAGGTTTATGACTGAATTGGCAAAAAAATTTAAGACTGAATTAATACAATTACAATAAGTTTATGACATTTTTGGAAATTTTCCCCCGATCTAGTTCCCCCTTTTCGACATCATTTCTCAAAACACGAAATAGACTTCCACTTTCCATGTTTTACATAAATCAAGAACATGCGTGCCCGATGTATCAAGAACTTTGGATCTTGTTCCCCGTGGGTCGAGCCCGTTAACGATCATTTAGGTAGAATCATAATTAATGAATAGCATCATGTACTCTCTTTCGTTGGAAGTGTGCTTGAGGTATACAGAAAGTGCGGCATACGAGATTTTAAGGCGGAAAAAAATGATTTTATGATTTTAAGGTTCTTTTATTTATTTATTTTTTGGGTTTTATGTCGATGGGTTTCCTTGTCTCTGTGTCCTTGTGTTCATCCATTCTGATTAAATTTAAAGGTTGCGTTCATTATTACAAAACTTCAAGACATGAATTAATTTATACGGTTGATTGTGTCTTCATAATGGATGAACTCTGATTCCGCAACATCGTGATTGCGAAGTGGCATGCCCTCCATCGTAAGCTTCACGGTTAACTAATGATGATTCCACTAGAAGTTGAACCAGCTTACACATGGAAGTTGCACAAATTCCAGAAGTCAAGGTCTTTGTCGAGTACGCTCCTCAAAAGTCAACAAGTCAAGGTCTTTGGACGTGTATTGATTGCCGGACCAAGAGACACGGTCCGTCTAGAGTAATCGTCGTGGTCTTTTGTTGTTTTCGTGATCTAGGATCCTTGGCCATCGAAAAGGAAACGTTGATCAATTTGCCGCCTTTAATTGACTAGCAAGCCTTCAACTAGACAGAAATGATCCCGAATAACACGTAGTGAGTATCCTTACGTTGCCTAATTTTCGTGGCCACAACAACACAACACCACTTATCATGCATTCCGATCTTACTGTAAAGACAAAAAATAAATGACTGTCAGATAAATGATTCTCACTCCACATTGCTACTTAGGTAGATTTTAGCCTAGCTAGTTTAAAAAAAGTTTGCCGTGACTTGAAATTGCAGAAGCCGTATCCTTTGTATCCTCAACCACAATTACCAATTTGCAGCATCATTCTATCAATCAACTCTTCACTGGTTGGAATTTTGTTTGCTATTACTGGGACAAGCACTTCATGGTCCTTGCTCTTCTTGTAGGCTTGATGAAGTTTCCGTTGATCCACCTTCCCACCATACTCGCTCGATTCATTTGTTGGAGCTGCGCAAGTGAGATTGAATGGAAGGGCTTGGCCAACGCTGGTTTTGGAGCGAGAAAAGCTTCCGAAACTTGTTTCATTGTGGGTCGTGACTTTGGATCGCTACTTAAGCAAGCAAGCGCCAGAGAAACTACCAGAAAGATATTTCTTGCGATAGAATTCACTCTTGGGATTGGCAAGCGTGGGTCTAATATTTGATGTAGGGGAATATTACCAAAAAAGTCCTAAACCTATTGCAATTGAGCCAATTCAGTCATAAATCTTTTTTTTTTTATCAATTCAGTTCTAAATTTTTTGCAATTGTGCCAATTTAGTCCATCCGGTCAGCGTTGACGTGAATGCCGGCCGGCTGATGCGGCAATATTTTTAATATATATATTTTTATTTTTTTTGAATTTTTTTTATTTTTTTCCTTTCTCTTTTTTTTTTTCTTTCCTTCTTCCCCCTGGCCGGCTAAAGGGAGGCTTGCCAGCGAGGTGACCTCGCCGGCATCTGGGGACTGGCGACAGCGGAGCTCGCCATGGCTAAGCGAGCTCGACCTTGCCCAAATCTGGCGAGGTCGAGCTTCGCCATGGCTGTGTGACGGCGAGGGCCGGTGAGGGCGGAGCTCGCCATGGCTGGGCGAGCTCTGCCCTCGTCGCCGCTGGGTAAGCTCGACCTCGCCTAGATCTAGCGAGGTCAAGCCTCGCCATGGCTGTACGACGGCGAGGCTCGCCCAGCCATGGCGAGCTCTGCCCTCACCGCCGCTGGGCGAGCTTAACCTTGCCCAGATCTAGCGAGGTTGAACCTTGCCATGGTTGTGCGACGACAAGGCTCGCCTTCACAGGCACTGGCGAGGGCGGAGCTCAAATTTTTTTTTATTTTTTTCCTTTCTTTGTTTTTTTTTGGCCTTTCCTTCTTTGCCCGGTCCAATGGCCGAACCGGCCAGGGGTTAGGGCCGGCGAGCTCTTGTCGGCCCCTAGAGAGGCTCGCCCTCGTCGGCACTAGCGAGGGCAGAGCTCGCCATGGCTGGGCGAGCTCGACCTCGCCATGGCTAGGCGAGCTCGACCTCGCCCATAGCCATGGTGAAGCTCGACCTCGCCAAATCTGGGCAAGGTCGAGCTCGCCCAGCAACGACGAGGGCAGAGCTCGCCCAGCCATGGCGAGCTCCGCCCTCGCCTCGCCCAGTGACAGCAAGGTTCGCCCTCACCGGCGAGCCTCCCCTTGGCAGGTCCGGCCAGGGGGAAGAAGGAAAAGAAAAAAAAAAGAGAAAGGAAAAAATAAAAAATAATTCGAAAATATATATATTAAAATATTGCCACGTCAGCCGGCCGGCGTCCACGTCAGTGCCGACCGGCCAAAAGTGACTAGATGGACTGAATAACACAATTGCAAAAAGGTTTAGGACTGAATTGGCACAATTGCAATAGGTTTAGGATTTTTTTGGTAACTTTCCCTTTGAGGTAGCATAATATCTTCTTTGAGGAGTGTTGACAACATCAAAATGACATCACCTAGATGCTTGCCTATTATCGTTTCCATTGCTACCGCTCTAAACCTTTATATGTCACAATTTTCATTGATGACCAAAGTGTAAGCGAGCTCTAAGAAAAGGACAAAAAGTTGATGAATTAGATGAGGCTCAAAACCATGTTTTCAATGTTAGTTAGTGTACTATCAAAGGACACATTTGTCAGCATGATGAAACATCAATGGCGTTTGTTAACCGCATGGGGGTATAGTAGATCGATCTAGCTATGTGCATCTAGTTATAACATTTAGAAAAGTATGGAGGACTATTGCTTGGAGGACGCTGTTGTTGTTGAGTAATTGAACTTCTGCTGTTCCTTCTAATAATTTTACATGATGATACATTGTTTATTGATCATGCATTTCAATCTTACCGAAAAGAAGAAAAAAAATGGATGTCCTATATAAACAGCTTCTCACTCCTATACGTAGTATGGTAAAAAGTTTTACATGACTTAATAATGTGCAGAAGCCACACAGTTCTATATCACTTACACCAAATTGTAGCATCATTTTATCAATCTAACTCTTTACTGGACAAGCACTTACTAACCCTTGCTCATCGCTTAGTCCTGATGAAGCTTCTGTTGATCGATCTTCCAACCATAATCTGTTGTTATCTCGGAGCTGAGCCAATGAGATCTCATGGAAGGGCTTCGCCAACGGTAACTTTCGAGCTAGAAAAGCTTCCGAGACTTGCTTCATAGTTGGTCGGGACTTTGGATTAGCACTCGAGCAAGCAAGCGCAAGAGAAACTATCAGAACAATACTTCTTGCGATAGAGTTCTCTCTTGGATAAGGTAACCGCGGATCTAAGATTTTATGTAGCATGATATCTTCTCCACAGGATGTCCACAACGTAGATACAATATCTCCTGGATGCTCGCCCATCATCGTTTCCACTGCTATCACTCCAAAGCTATATACGTCGCATTTCTCATTAACAATCGAAGTATATGCGAGTTCTGGAAAAAAAAAGATACAAAAGACATCAAAAATTTTGGTAGTTGAGGCTTCAAACATGATGATTGCACCTTTACCACCGCCCCGTCGCTGCCCGAGAGGAGCAACTTTTCCCTCCCCGTCCTCACCCCACATAACTATGTGCGGCACTCCACCCCGCTCCATTTGCCCCTCCAATTTTTCTTTAAAAACAATTAATTTAATTTCCACAATAAAACGTTGAATAGAAATGAATGATTTAGTAATACCGATATTGATGTAATACAACATCGAGAAATCTTGACTATTCCGACAAATATTTACTTATCGGACTTGTGCCTCTACTAGTAACTTTCAGGATTAAAGAGAAAAACTTATGAAGCATGAAGTATTGCTCACCCGGTGCAATATATCCATAGGTGCCAGCGACATTTGCGGTGAAGTTAGACGAGGAATCAGTATCTAGAAGCCTTGCGGTGCCAAAATCTGATACAAAAGCCTGCATTTTGCTGTTCAGTAAGATGTTGTTGCTAGATATGTCTCGATGTATAATTGGCTGAGTGCAATCGTGGTGCATGTAAGACAAAGCATGTGCCGTATCCCGAACGAGATCGACTCTTTTGGACCAATCCAATTCCACCGCTTCGACGTCAACTCTCAAAGTACAGAATAGACTTCCCCTTTCCATGTATTCATAAACCAAGAACATGCATCGCTTGTGTAAACAGAAACCATGGAGCTTGATGATGCTTCTATGCCTTACTTCTGTCAAGTGTTTCACTTCATTCCGAAAGCTCTTGTCGAAGGACGGATCCTCCGCTTCAAGACGGTGAAGTTTCTTTAATGCCACGACTTTCCCATTGGGTAATCGTGCTCTATAGACGCTACCATAACCGCCAGTCCCGATGCAATATTTGATGTCGAAGTCCTCTGTTGCATTAATTATGTCTTCATATGCAATCCTCCCGTCATAATTCCATATTGACAAGAAATTTCCATTTTTCTCTATAGTCTTTGATTGCACGCTCTTTGTTGCACGTCGAAATAGGAAGCAAGATCCAACGACTATAAAGGAAATGAATATTGCAGCCAGTGGAATGAACCTCGTCATGTAATGAATTACGCTAGACCTTCTTCTGTGGGCTTGGGTTTCGTCAAACTGGTTCAAATCTTCGTTACCAAGAAAAGCGGTATCAGGGAAAGCAGCCCTGAGATTATCTGGAATTGTGCCGTTGAGATGATTGTATGATAAGTCGAGGCGACGTAACAAGTAATTGTTTTTAAATGTGGGAATTGAGCCAGAAAGAGAATTGTTGTGCAGATCGAGATCCCTTAAACTGCTCAAATTCTCAAGTTCAACAGGGATTTTCCCAACCAAGTTGTTCAAGCTCAAATCTAGAAATGCGAGATTCCTCACGTCTCCTATTTCCAATGGGATGACACCATCAAATATATTTTCCCGTAAATTTAGCTCGATCAAGCTCTCTAAATTGCCTATTTCCGATGGAATTAAACCACCGAGTTTGTTTTCTTGTAAATAGAGATAAGTCAAGCTTCTCAAATTCCCTATTTCCGGAGGAATAGATCCACCGAGTTTGTTTTCTTGCAAAGAGAGATAAGTCAAGCTTGTCAAATTCCCTATTTCGGGAGGAATAGATCCACCGAGTTTGTTTTCTTGCAAAGAGAGATAAGTCAAGCTTGTCAAATTCCCTATTTCGGGAGGAATAGATCCACTGAGTTCGTTTCCTTGCAAACCGAGATCAGTCAAGCTCATCAAATTCCCTATTTCCAGAGGTATAGATCCATTGAATTCGTTTCCTTGCAAATAGAGATAAGTCAAGCTCGTCAAATTCCCTATAGACGACAGAATGGGACCAGTGAAGCTGTTACCACTTAAATCAATATCATCCAATTTTGTGAGGTTCCCAAGTTCTAGAGGGATAGAGCCACCTAATTCGTTTGAGCTAAATATGAGAGATCGTAAATTATACAAGAGACCAATAGTCGAAGGGACTGCACCGCTGAGCGCATTCAACCCGAGATCCAAGTAGGTCAATCTCTCCAGATTTCCCAGCTCGGGAGGGATAGAACCACTGATGTGATTATGACCGATATGAAGTATTTCAAGCCTGGTGAGGTTTTGGACACAAGGAGGCAACTCGCCGGTGAGAGAATTGTGGGACAAGTCAAGGTGAGTTAGTCTTGACAGAGTACATATTTGAAGGGGGATTTTGCCAGCCAGTCCGCTGTAAATGAGTTGGAGAAAGGTGAGGCTCGGAAGGAGAGAGAAGTTCATGTTGCTGAAATTACCTCCTATTGGGTACGCAGTTGCCAAGCGAATCCCGTTGACGCTCCCAGAGGCATCGCACGATACCCCGGGCCACGCGCAATGAGGTAAGGGAGTGTCGCCGGTAACGGAGCTAGGCCACCACCCGCTGTGGAGAAGCGCACTTGCCTCTGACTCACTAGCAGGCGCTGCTGCTGCAACAATTGGATTGTAGCAGGAGAAAGCTATAGAAGTAATCAGTATAATAACTAAGGACATGTTGCAGATTATGCTCATCATGGGGTGGCCTCTTCGTTCGCTGTAGTCGGAGAAACAGGGTGTTGTTCAGTAACGTGTTATACCGCACTTATATAAAGTAAAACAAGAAGACGCTACTGTGCTGATGCGTCAAAGGAAACGCGTTCTGTACGGTTCACGCGTTCATCTTTTTAATGGCTCGACACACTTACGTTCAACCGTAACTCTCTTAGACTCAAAAAAGAATAAACTCTGTTGGACTTTTTCCTTCCTTTTTGTTTAGAGATGATGGAGTTGCCATCATCTCGTAGGGCTGTAAAAGGGACACTAATCACTACAAAGTTGAATTAGTCTGCGAACCAATCCAAGTTTCAGCACCCCCGCAAACCAAAAACTACACGTCCAACATTATTTCGCCAGGTTATACCAATCTTTTTTAAATATTACCAACAAGTTACTTGAAAAATGTCGTTTATTAGCATCTTTTTCTATACCTACAATACTTATTGAAATTTACCTACCCGGAAAAAGAAAATCTCATTTTTTTATGCAGAACTGTTGAAAATATGTCTCGAGTTTGAGCCCGAAGCGAAAATCTAAATATTCCGAATTGGATATTTTGCGGACGGCCGGAATCGAGCAAAGCAAATCACGTGATTTCCCTCTACAAATTGGAGTCCAACGTGATGACGGATTTTGACGGTGAAAGAATACTTAAAAAGGAAATTGTGGATTTGTAGTTTGGCTAAGAGAAAAGAAAAGAAGTAATTTCTGTTTTGAAACCAAGGATAGAAATAATCCTTTGGAGTCGGCCGAGGAGAATAGAAAATTAAAGGAAAGTCAAATCTTGGAAAATGGTTGACCGTATCTTGCATGGACTTCCTTTTTACGTGTTGAATTAGGCCACTGATCGTTTCTTGGGCAAATATATAATTTTCTGTCGTGTGCTCCTTCGACCGCAGTTGTTGATGTGAGCAGACTCGAAGCACCGTTTTCTCTGAGTGCCGTGGACATCCATAGGTGCTGGGCGCTTGGTGTTGAGTTCGTAATTTTGTTCATGGAATTACACCAAGAATTCAAGTGTTAGTAGCGATTAAATCTTGTAGTAAGATTTGTGTATAATTCTTTCGCGAGATTGAGAGATTATTTTGTGAGGAATTGTGGGGCTAAACACTGCGTGAGTTATATTGAATGTAATTGAGATTTGGAAAATACTTAGAGTGTTTGAGTGACTCGAGTGTGGTTGTAATCTCCATTGTATCGCTTGATCTATAGTAGAATTCTGTGCTGCTCTCCCCGTGGACGTAAGTCACTACGATCGAACCACGTACATTTGGTGTCCGATTTATTTTCTTGTTGTGTCAATTTTATTGTTCGATTGTTTGACTTCCGCAACAAGAACAATAGAATTTTTCCCTGCCAAATTCAATTTTATCTTTATTTTTTTGTGACAAGATTTAACGAACTATGAAAAAATGAGGCGACTCTTTTTTTAGTAGATAAAACGCGCTAAATCCCATAGTACCCAAGCACAAATTTCACACGCATGTCGGTACATCTACTGCCTTCTCTAAGCAAATGTAGAAAACATAATTATAACAGCATTGGCAGTAGACGATTTTCTGCCCTTTTAGGCAGGTCTCCACTTAAAAATGCACCATGACGCAATATTCTCAGGTGGCAATTTACATGAGATAAATCGGGTAAAAGATGTCTCTCTCTCTCTCTGCCCGCCACTCTGCCACCGTTGCAGTCGCACCACTGCCGCTGCTACCGTGAGGCCGCTGCTCTTAACTCGACCTAGATATGAATTAAAGAATGAGAGAGAGAGAGAGAGAGAGAGCAGCTGTTTGGGGCTTTCGTTGGGTTGAACGAAGTAAGATGGTCCTGCTGGAACAAGACTTCGGCTCCGTTTATTTCGCGAAAAATGTAACATTTCCATAAAATGTTATTCAAGAAATCATTTTTCAGAAAAATAATAATATTTTCTAGTGTTTAGTTGAGATCTGAAAATGAATTGGAAAATATTTTTCCATTATTTAGTAAGGAAATTTTTATAAAAAAATTTTGGCCTCGATGGACCCAGGCACGAGCGTCAAGGACCTAAGCTTGACCTCGATATTACCGGGCCTGGTGTCCTGGGCATGGGCATCGGTGTCCCGACCTCGGCCTCGATGAACCCTAGCACAACCTATATGGACTCGGGCCATAGCGTTGAGACCTGGCCCCACTGCCAAGGACCTGAGAACGAGCAATGGGGTTCTCGTGCTCAAGTGTAATGTTTCTGGTCTAAGCACCGATACCTAATCACATTTTGAAAAATGATTTCCGATTTTTTAAAAAGAAATCATTTTCCTGAATTTAAGTTTTGAAAGGAAAACATTTTCCATTGATAATGAGAACATTTTTTGTTAACTTATTTTCCTAAGCAATCTAATGGCTAGAAAATAAGAAAAATGTTTTCCTGAAAAATATTTTCGACAAGACAAATGGAGCCTTCCTATAAGAGCTTTGTTGAATAAGATGTTAGATATCTTCGGAAGAATTTTGGATCACGTTCCATGTGGGTTGAACCCGATAACGATCATTTGGGGAGATTCATAATTTATGAATGGCATCATGAACTCTCTTTCATTGGAAGTGTGCTTGAGATATACAGAAAATGCGGCAGACGAGATTTTAAGGCGGAAAAAAGAATGATTTTATGATTTTAAGGCTCTTTTGTTTATTTTTTGGGTTTTATGTCGATGGGTTTCCTTGTCTTTGTGTCCATGTGTTCATCCATTCTGATTAAATTTAAAGGCTGCGTTCATTATTAAAAACTTCAAGACATAAGTTAATTTATACGGTTGATTGTTTCTTTATAATGGATTAACTCTGACTCCGCAACATCGTGATTGCGAAGTGGCAGGCCCTCCATCGTAAGCTTCACAGTTAACTAATGATGATTCAATTAGAAGTTGAAGCAGCTTACACATGGAAGTTGCACAAATTCCAGAAGTCGAGGTCTTTGTCGAGTACGCTCCTCAAAAGTCAACAAGTCAAGGTCTTTGGACATGTATTGATTGCCCGGCCAAGAGACACGGTCCGTCTAGAGTAATCGTCGTGGTCTTTTGTTGTTTTCGTGATGTCGGATCCTTGGCCATCGAAAAGGAAACGTTGCTCAATTTGCCGTCTTTAATTGACTAGCAAGTCTTCAACTAAACAGGAATTATCCGGAATAATACGCAGTGAATATCCTCAAGTTGCCTAATTTTCGTGGCCACAACAAGACATTATCACTTACCATGCATTCCGATCTTACTAAAAAAGACAAAATAAATGACTGTCAGATAATTGATTTTCACTCCACATTGCTACTTAGGTAGATTTTAGCCTAGCTAGTTTAAAAAAAGTTTGACGTGACTTAAAATTGCAGAAGCCGTATCCTTTGTTACCTCAACCCCAATCACCAATTTGCAGCATCATTTTATCAATCTAGTCTTCACTGGTTGGAATTTTATTTGCTACTATTGGGACAAGTACTTCATGGTCCTTGCTCTTCTTGTAGGCTTGATGAAGTTTCCGTTGATCCACATTCCCACCATACTCACTCGATTCATTTGTTGGAGCTGCGCAAGTGAGATTGAATGGAAGCGCTTGGCCAACGCTGGTTTTGGAGCCAGAAAAGCTTCAGAAACTTGTTTCATTGTGGGTCGTGACTTTGGATCGCTACTTAAGCAAGCAAGTGCCACAGAAACTACTAGAACGATATTTCTTGCGATAGAATTCACTCTTGGGATTGGCAAGTGTGGGTCTAATATTTGATGTAGCATAATATCTTATCTGAGGAGTGTTGACAACATCAAAATGACATCACCTGGATGCTCGCCCATTATTGTTTCCACTGCTACCGCTATAAAGTTTTATACGTCACAATTTTCATTGATGACCAAAGTGTAAGCGAACTCTAAGAAAAGGACAAAAAGTTGATGAATTAGATGAGGCTCGAAACCATGTTTTCAATGTTAGTTAGTGTACTATCAAAGGACATATTTGTCAGCATGATGAAACATCAATGGTGTTTGTTAACCGCATGGGGGTATAGTAGATCGATCTAGCTATGTGCATCTAGTTATAACATTTAGAAAAGTATGGAGGACTATTGCTTGGAGGACGTTGTTGTTGTTGAGTAATTGAACTTCTGCTGTTCCTTCTAATCATTCACTGATCCATTCATAACCCTTTTTAATTATTTCGTTTAGTGTCACAAAAGACTGCCAAGAAATTGCTAGGAACTGCAAACCAAAGACTATCTATTGAAATTATATGGTCAGCGGAACAAGATAACTCAAGTCAAAAGCAGCTTCCGACATACTTTGCCTAAGTTCAATTTTGGCGGGCCCAAAACCCATTTACAAGTTTTCCACCTCACCCGTGTCTTTTGAGAGTCTTCTCTAATTTGATTTCTTTGAGCCAATTGTAATACGTTGTGTCCATCCAAAATGAACGGATAACCGCTAAATCAGTGAATTCAATTTGAAAACTTGCATCAATTATTGAGTGACCATCTAAATAGAATCAATTACGTTGTAGAAATTGTGTATGGGTTCTCGTGTATTATGTTGGGACTGGTGCGGGTCTCTTTATTTCCTGATGCATTGTTTATTAATAATGTATTTCAATCTTATTGAAAAGAAGAAAAATGAACGGATGTCCTATATAAACTGCTTCTCACTCCTCTAGCATAGTACGGAAAAAAGTTTTACATGACTTAATTATGTGCAGAAGCCATACACTTTTATATCCTGAATCACTTTCACCAAATTTCAGCATCATTTAATCAAGCAACTCTTTATTTGGACAAACACTTAATCACCCCTTGCTCATCGCTTAGTCCTGATGAAGCTTCTGTTGATTCACCTTACATCCATGATCTATTATTATCTCGGAGCTGAGCCAATGAGATCTCATGGAAGGGCCTCGCCAAGGGTAACTCTCGAGCTAGAAAAGCTTCCAAGACTTGCTTCATAGTTGGTCGG